TATGTATGTATGTATGTATGTATGTATGTATGTATGTATGTATGTATGTATGTATGTATGTATGTGTGTGAGTGGGGGGGGAGACATGGGAGTATATCGTCTGTATTTTACCCTCAAAGCCCAGTATTTCTTCGTATTTCACCTCAGCATTGGCCAAGACTTAGTTCACTCCATTTGTTCTTCTCAAAAGCCTGTACGCATGACAGACACACCGAAAACAAACACACAAACTATGGCTGAAACACACTCACAGTTGGCGCCCAGTTACCTGTATCACTGCTATGACCGATCCCTGTTGTCTTATCAACGCGTCGTGGCAACCTCGTCACACATGCCCTAAGAGGCGAGTGCAAGCATTGGCGTTTGAGGCCGTAGCCGAGAAGACACGTGTCGGCCGGTGAGGTTCACAGTTGACGCAACAACTCGACATGAAAGTGTTCTTTGCTCTCTGCCCTGTTGACCCGTGCCGATGGTATGAGCCCGTTCTTGAACATGGTTGCCATGTGTGCTGGTGCATTCGGGTGTATGTTTGCGCTATTTGCTGACGGGATAGGCTGAGACCCGTTGGCCTCTGGGGTTTGTATTTAACACGCATCAGTCGGCCCAAACCGCCCCTGGGACTCTGGACGAGTACACCCTCCATTTCGTCACCTCCGAAAGTCTTGAGCTGAAGTAAAAAAAACTGGACGATACAGAGAAAATGTGGCGACGAATAAGTCCTTTTCGTATGTACTAGCGCAACCTTGAACCACGTTCTGGGGTCACGTTTGATGAAGGGCTGAAGTGAAGAGCGGATACGAAAAATAAGGCACTTGTCGCCTTTCTCCGTCGACTCTGGCTGTTTACTTTTACGGACATGGCACCCAAGTTTGTATGCATTTGATCTTACCCGAAGAGTGACACGGTCTTGCCTGCGAGGCTCGTCATCCGTCAGGGCTGAGCGACCGAGGTCCTCGTCACATGTGGCCTCTTCAGAATAGTAAACTTCACCGGATGACAATTCACCCGTCAACGCATCGGCAGACCTACGAAGAAGTTTGCGAAACGGCGATTCAGTTCCGCCTCGCAACCAAAACATGTTGTAAATAATGCCCTTTCGATTAGAGTCAGTCCGGAAGTTGGCCAGACGGCTGAAGAAAGCAGAAATCCTGATGGTCTCAATCCTTCCATTTTGGAGCAATTTGTTTTTTTTTTAAGTATTTGGTATTACAACCCTTTAACCACAGGCTTTGGCCGGTTAACCACCGTCTGGATAATTGGTGGTCGAAGTGATACATTCTTAATTAGATGGGGATTGGGAGGCGACAGACGAATCAGACTGGCGAAATGCATTCCACATCTACCATCCTAAGGTATCAAAAACACACTCCAAGTGTATGAAGGAAAGCTGGTTTTCTCTTGGTTTGGCAAAGTATGGTTCCTCGCTCTGAGGATGACTTTCATATATAAGCAGAGTTTCGAGACTACTTTCGGGAAAGCAAGGCCATGTGAAATTGAATGGAAACGTCAGCTCTACACATATCATTGTGGGAAAATTCTTCTACCCGTCCTTCATCACCGTAATCGACATAAGGTGAACACATCTTATGCATCTGATGATGTCTGTCGTATGAGACACGAAAGAATAGAATGGGTTCATTGGGATTACAGGACAATGAGACAAAGACGTCGGTACAATTCAACATTGTTGAGCTTACTATCCTTTCCAGTGAAATTGTTTGGTGAAATGATCCCAAGATCGAACACACCTAAAGACGACGGCGGATTTCGTAGACTGGCCGAACCGGATACCGAAGGATGGTTGCTTTGGATCGTTGTCTGCTGACGCATGCGAACAATACCTCGGCTCACCATTCGAGTGAAAGGGTTGGATGAAGATATTCAAAAGTCGGTTCCACCAAAAGAGGACGGTGGATTCCTCTTGACCAGCTGTCGATTAGCTTTACTGGAAGATTCAGACTGACGCTGTTTCCGAGGCAATCTCTTTCGATTCCGGTGAAAAGGTGCTAAGATTTTATCCGTCAATTGACGAACATCATCAGAGCAAGGTATCATCGTCACACCAAAAACCAAGCTAACGAGTCAAGAAATCTCACCGGCAAATCCCTAAAAAGTGGTATCTATACTCTACATCTGGCCTCTTTGATCGAGTATAAAGTGATTTCGTTAGTTACGGTCATATGTCCACTTCGATGCATGCGAGTGTGTCTGTCTCGGTATTTGTATGTGCCTGTTTGTGTTCGCTTATACACGAAACCCGAAGTGATGGCTCAAAGTAATTAGCGAAGAAAAGTTGGGTTCTGAGGAATCTCTTGTTTCATAATTGTTGAGCTTACTTCCATTTCGAGTAGAAGTGTTGGGTGAAGAGATT